GTGTCATTATTGACTTTACAATCATAGAGCCAAAATGGAGAAGCTTGTGTGTGAAGTACACCCGTACTGCCTCCATAGGAATTAAAGTGATATTAACTACTTGCTATCCGGAGCAATTTCTTAATATTTGTACACGCACACATGATAAAATCTGAATTTTTGGCTAGAAAACAGCTTAAAACCTCCAATTACATATTTTCTGAAAGCAGAGGCCCTGTAGAATAAAACAATGTTGGTTGCAATTTTTTATGTCACATTGTATTTGTGCAAGTGTTTATCAAACAGAATACCCAATTTTTGGTAAAATTAGGCAGTCCTAATGCAGTTAAACCTTCAGGATTTTTTTCATTTTTCGGTTTTGGGGGACAGACAGCACGGATCAGGTCAGCACAGAAAACGGACGTCATGTGTACAGGCCCTAAGAGGCTAAGTAGCAGCCGGGTGCTGCTAATCAAATGTCCTTGATTAATTGATCATCAGCAAGTGTGAAACTTCGGCTTTATAGAGGTGTAAGGGCCCATTCACACTATGTCCGAATCATCTCCAGGCCAGATTGTTTCCGGCCCCAAAATGCATCCTAATGTATCCCTATGCTATTTCTGGCCTCTGTTCACACCAATGCAGTCCGTTCCAGACCAGACTAGAAAAATACTGCTTGTCCTATTTTGTCTGGTCTGGAATGCATAAAAACACATCAAAATTGCATACAATAGGCACTAGAACACACATGTAAGACCATTTAAGCACAAACAAAAAGAAATACCAAACGCAACAAAAATGCAATGCACTGCGTTCCAGATCTGGTCTGGAAAATGGTGTGAACCTGCCCTTAGCAGTTTGCTGGTCTGGAGCATTGAGGTGTGTGTTAACACAATGCCAAGGAGGCAAGACATCAGCAATGACCTTAGAGAAGCACAACAATCTGGGAAGGGTTATGAAGCCATTTCTGAACAATTTAACAATTCATTCTACAGTGAGAAAGATTAATCACAAATGGAAAACATCCAAGACAGTTGTCAATCTTCCCAGGAGTGGGCGTCCCAGGAAATTCACCCCAAGGTCAGGCCGTGCAATGCTCAAAGAAATTGCAAGAAACCCTAGATTTACCTCTCAGGCCTCGTTCACAACAGATGCAGTGCGTTCCATCCCGGTTCTGGCCAGAACGCACTGCCTCCCATTGCGGCCGGCACACTTTTTTGTGGGGCAGGAGGGGGCGTGGCGATCAGCTAAAGTGAATGGCACTGTAGCCACGCCCTCCGGCCGTAATGCGATCGGCTGCATGGGATCGCAAGGCACATTATGCCTGCGGTCCGGTCCAGTCCGAACAAAATGCTGCAAGCGCTATTTTGTTCGGACCGGACCGGAGGCATAATGAACATGACACAGCTGCCGACAATTGTACGATTCTCGGCGGGTTTTCGAACATGTTCCCAAGAGAAAAGTCGTGCGACCGTACAGTTGAAACGGTCGCACGCCTTCCACACACCTTGCGATAATCGTACGATTATCGCAAGGTGTGTGGGCACCTTAAGACTAGTTAGGAGCAGCAATATGGTGTGTGGCACAAATTCATTTTTGGTGCTCTGCACTCTGATGCCCCGTGCTGATTGGCCAATCCATGAGGTAGCCTAGGACAAAAAAAAGCAGGTGTCTTTTAAAACAATAATCTGAACTTCAAATCCACTGACACAATCTATACCGGAGTTGGCAACAGGTTGATTGAATTCATGTAACGGGTAGATTGTGAACCCGCTGTGTTGGCCCTTGCACTCTACTTCGCATAGAGCTATCAGTAACACATAGGGGTCTACTCCCTAAGCTGCCGTAGGCAACGGTGTTCGGCTATTCAGTTCAGGCTTGTACGGCTGATTTCAGCCGTATATCGGCTGCAATCAGCCGTACATCGTGTAGCTTTGGGTCGGCCGAACATGCTCAGCATGTTCGGGCAACCCGAAGTGCAGAAGGAGTTCGACGCAGATGATCCAACATCTGGATCTGCTAAGCCGAACCACCGGCGGGCTACTCGCTACTGTTCGGTCTGTTCTCATAGATGCTGAACAGCAGTGAGTAAATAGCCGAATGTCGTTGAGCTGCTTTCGGCTTGGCTGTTCTGCCCGGTCCCTCTGTGGGACCGAGCAGAATAGCAAAAAAGTTAAGAAAGTAGAAAAAAAAACACCCGAGAGAGAAATTCTTTCTCTCACAGAAAGGTTCACTCTGCTCGATCGAGCAGAGTAAACCTTTCCCTGCTCGGTTTTTTCTTTTTGTCTTTTGACGGCAGTCGTCAGAAGAAGAAAAAAATCCCCAAAGGAAAGCATAGCTAGATTCCTATTGGCTATTTCCCATTGCAATAGCAAACTAGCTATTGCAAAGTGAAATAGCCAATAGGAATCTAGCTGTGCTTTCCTATGGGGATTTTTTTTTTCTTCTTCTGACGGCAGCCGTCAAAAGAAAAGAAAAAACTGAGCACGGAAAGGTTTACTCTGCTCGATCGAGCAGAGTGAACCTTTCTGTGAGAAAGTGTTTCTCTCTCGGGTGGCCGGGAGCCTATTAGACTCCCGGAGCGTCCGGGTGAGGAATGACAGATGCGTTCCTGGTTACCAGGTAACCAGAAACGACATCTGTCATTACACACTGAGAACACGGAGAGGCCGCTCTCAGGTGTGTAATGACAGCGTCCCTGGTTAGCTGGTAACCAGGGACGGTGATCTCTCTGCAAGTGGCCAGAGCCAGCCGTGAGATGACGGCTGGCACCGCCCAGCTGTCAGAAGCATGCCAGCTTTGGCTTTCAGCGCGGCATATGCGTTCGGCTCGACTGAGCCGCTCGGCCAATTTCGGGAGCTGTACGGGCTATAATGAATAGCCCGTACACCAGCCCTTCGGTTCTACTGAACCGAAGGGGTCCTGGAGCCGAAGCAAGCCGAAGGATCAGCCGGAGCTATGGATAGATCCTTCAGCAGCTTTGTGAATAGACCCCATAGTCTCCCCATTCATCTCTCACCCTGCATGAGACAGGGCTACCCAGCACAGTACTGCTGCAATTGACACACGGTGTGTCACAGACTATTGTAAAACTAGGAAGCAGCTCTACTGCCTAAAGCTTTTTGCGGACATTGCAGGAAATGATCCTCCGCCTTCAAAACCTCTCAACCCATAAGGAACCATGCACTCACAAAACTGGTCTTTCATATGCCAATCACAAGCTCCAAAGCCCAATGCTGTAAAAGCGACAGTATACCTCCACTGTAAACGTTGGCACTTTCTCCAATCGGAGGATTATTTCCTATTACAGATAAGTACTTTTCTAACTGACCTTTCTTGCATTCTCACAGAATAGCTATAATTGACCGCTACAGGGGGTTCACCATAATTTACCGTGCCCCTGAGGACTCCTGGGTGATTATCCAATTGGCAAGGATGTGTTTTCCCAGCCGATTGCTGTGGGTGACTTTCCTAACACGTTTCTCAGAAGTATTTTGTAATTCTTCCAAGAAGAAAAGGAAACAAAATCACACAGAAAGGAAATTGTGTTTAACAAGCCCCTTGCCCTGTGATGTGGGTGCAGAGGGCCTGTGATGGAAGGTTGTACAGTTTTTGTATTCGTGACTTGGAAAGCAAACTGATAAAGGTCAGTGGGTCACACTTGTATCTGTCACTGTCGTATACGGTCAATATTGGAAGGAATAAACAGGAAGTGGGAGTTAATTTAAACACCCTTCCGCCACCATATCAGCACTGAACAACCACAATCCCGTCTTCACCTCTCTTAGGAGACTGCACAACGCTGCAGAGTCTGACAGAGTCTGACAGGACATGCTGAGAGTTGTAGTTCCACAAAAGCGGTACAAGACTCTCTGAATCCAACTCATGTCATTACAAGTTATAACATGACTTTATTATATAACATACTTTTAGATTGTAAGCTTCTCAGCACATGATTCATATTTCTAATATATCTATATAATCTAAACTCACTTTGTACAGCACCGCAGAATATGCCAGTGCTATGTCAACCAAAGCAATATTAATAGTAAGAAGAATAAATTCCTTTTTCTTCTTTCACTTCCGGTTATTGTAACCACACCACCT